TTTTTTTTTTTTTTTTTTTTTTGGGTATTCTCAGTCTCCATTGCATTGATTTCTGCTTTTGTTTTGTTTTGTTTTTTTACGGGGGCGTGGGCATCAAACTCAGGACCTTGTGCTTGTAGGCAGTGGAATCACTGAGGTAAGTCCCCGACTCTGCTCTGATCTTTATAATTTCCTCCCTTGTATGAGCTTTGAGTTTGTCTTGCTCTTATTTTTCTAGGAGCTTAAGATTCAGCATTAGTTTGTTCATTTGAGCTTGCTCTGTTTTCCTAGTGTGGACATTTATTGCTAGGAATTTCTCTTGTAGAACTGCTTTCATTGTGTTCCATAGATTTCTGTATGTTGTATTGTCATCATTCATTTGTAAAAATTGTCTAATTTGTCCTTTAATTTCCTCTGTGACCCATTGGTTGTTCAGGAGAGTGTTGTTCACTTTTCATGTGTTTGTGAAGTTCTTATGGTTTCTTATGCTATTGATCTCCAGTTTAATTGCACTGTGGTCTGATAATATACACAAGATAAATTCAGTTCCTTTGCATTTACTTAAACATATTCTATGACTAGTATGTGGTCTATTTTGGAGAATGACCTGTGTGCAACTGAAGAATGTATACTCTGATTTTGTGGGGTGGTACGCTCTGTAGACGTCTGTTAAGTCCGTTTATTCAAAAGCTTGGTTCAGTTCTGGTATTTTGCTATTGATTTTTTGTCTAGATGATCTGTCTGTTTGTGACAGTGGCTTACTGAGGTCCCCCACTATAATTGTAGTAGTCCTTATTTGGTTTTTAATGTCCCTTAATATTTATTTTGTATAGTTGGATGTATTAGTATTGGTGCATATGCATTTATGATTTCCATCTCTTCCTCTTGGATTGTTCCCTTTACAAGAATATAGTGACCTTCTTTGTCTCTCTTAATTATGTTTGGTTTGAAATTTACTTTGTCTGCAAATAAAATAGCTACCTCTGCTTTTTTCTGGGTTCCTGTCATATGGAGAACTGTTTTCCACCCTTTTACTTTCGGTTTATGAGTTTCTTTTTGAACTAGGTGCGTTTCTTGTATACAGCATGTTGTTCGATTTTGTTTCTTAATCCATTATACCAGTCTGTTTCTTTTGATTGGTGAATTGAGGCCATTAACATTGATGGTTATAACTGACATGTATTGATGTGTCATTGTCATGTTGTTGGCTCTTTTTAATTTTTTCCCCTCTCCCTTTAATTTCTTGCCTTGCCTAGTAGATTTACTCTTTTGGGCCTCTTGGACTTGTGACCTTCATTATCCTTTTTCTAGGATTTTTTTTTTTTTTTTTGGTTTTTTTGAGACAGGGTCTCACAATGTAGTTGAGACTAACCTGGAACTCACTATGTAGCCCAGGCTGGTCTTGAACTCACGGTGATCCTCCTGCCTCAGCCTCCCAAGTGCTGGGATTACAGGTGTACGCCACTATGCCTGGCTCTAGGATATTGTTTAGAATTGCTTGGAATGCTGCTTTGGTATTCATGAAGTTTCTCAGGTGTTCTTTGTCATGGAAGTATCTTATTTCTCCATCAATTTTGAAAGATAGTTTTGCAGGATACATAAGTTTAGGTTGGAGATTGTTTTCTTTTAGGGCTTGAAATACCTCACTCCAGGCTCTCCTTGACTTGAGGGTTTGTGTTGAAGTTTGCTGTGATTCTGATGGGCTTTCTTTTGCATGTGATTTCTTTCTTTTCTCTAACTGCTTGTGATAATTTGCTCTTCTGTTGGGATTCTGGAATCTTGATTATTATATGTCTAGCTGTATTTTTTTTATAGCAAAACATTTATTGGTACATTTTAGGAATACTTAATGCTAACACTCATCATTGGGAATTTACACCCGTACATGGTACATCCCACCCTTTTCCCCCATTACCATCTCCATTTTGTACACTGTATTGTACATGGTGTTGTACACTGTATTGAAATATAGCACAAATAAATTGACTTTCACCTTGATAACACGTTTATCCCATTTAAATGAGTAGTCAGATAAAAAAATACAAAACTGGTGAGGAATTTTCATCTTCAGGTTCCTTGATTCTATAAATGACAGTATCATTTCACAATTCACAAAATCTTTTCAGCCTTGTACTCCAACTTTGCCACCTCACTTCAGAAAAATGATGTCCCCATAATCAGCTTCCTTACTCTTTTTTTTTTAATGTTTCAAAACATGTGTTGTTGACTCAGTGTGATCACAGAACAAGATTCCTGATTAAGCATGAATAATAAATATGGATTGCTTCACAAATTTGTCATCCTTGCACAGGGGCCATGCTAATCTTCTCTGTATAGGTTCAATTTTAGTATTTGTGGTGCTGAAGGGAGCACACAGCATCCTTATCCTTCAGGAACTCGTGGAATTGCTGATTTGATCTCTAGGACCTCATGAAATTCACAGCTTTGATGATGATTTGCATGACATCTTTTTGTTGTTTTTTTTGAGACAGGGTCTCGCTACATAGTTCAGGCTAGTCTTGAATTCACTGTTTGAACTCATGGGTTTCTCCTGCCTTAGCCTCCTGAGGGATTATAGGCATGCACCACCATACCTAGCTCCCATAACATCCATTTTTAAAGCTTGAATTTTCTTGCTGTGTGATGCAGCACTATTTTATTTATTTTTTTGGTACTGGGGATTGAACTCGGGTCCTTGCGTTTTGCAAGGCAGGCCACCGAACCACTGAACTAAATCCCCAGCCCAGTACTATTTTATTAAATGTGACTTGCCAGCAACAATTGCATCATCTTTTATTAATTTATAAATACCTCCTTTTTTTCTTTTTTTGAGACAAGGTCTCACTCTGTAGTTCAGGCTGGCCTTCAATTCATTATGTAGCCCAGGCTAGCCTCAAACTTGCAGTGATTCTTCTGCCTCAGCCACCGGGAGTGCTGAGATTATAGGCATGCACCACCACATCCAGTTTAAATCTCTCTTTACTAACCATCATGGGTACCACTATGGCTACAGCAGATATGTTAACAAAGTTCAAAGAAAATCAGTTATATTTACTGCTTTATACAAATGAAGAGATTTAGCTGTTTTTTGCTTTTGGTATTGGGAATTGAACTTGGGGACCTTGCGCTTGTGAGGCAGATGGCGGCACCATTGAGCTAAATCCCCAGCCCTTAGCTGTATTTTAATGGCATCAGAGTAACCATTTCTTCAGTGCTACGATACTCCTAATCTATAACACTGCTAATTAAAAACAGCAAGTTGAACCATATTTGTCATGTCAGCACTTTCATCTATTGCCAAAGAATAAAGTTTGAAATGAGCAGCTTCACTCTTAAATCTTTTTCAGTAGATTTTTCCCCATTTCCTCAATTCATCTGGCTATAGTCTGCTGAGACAAACTGATTTAGAAAAATTAAGCAGGGTGCCTTATTTCTCTCAATAAAAAGCACTCATCCATTTTTCACTGAAGACTCACTCTCTCTTCTTCCATTTTTCTTTTTTTTGGGTTAGGTTTTCTTTTGAGCCCGTGGTGGCTCTGCTTGTCCTCATGGGTCCATGTTGCTAGGAGGCCGGGCATTCTTACAGCTTATGTTCTTTTTCTTTGGTACTGGGGTTCGGCTTATATTCTTAATTCCCCATTCAATATGATATTAATTGCTAATTTATTAAAGATAAAGGAGCAGTACATATGCAGCGCTGAAAATCTGACATATTCATGTATATTTAAACATCACTCATTCTGATATTTAAAATATTGCATCTCTGGTGGCAAACCTGAAGACTATCAAGCATTTCTTCTCCATAGTTTTCATACTTCTGCCTCTACTGGCATCCCTTTTTATCTTTAACATCCATTCATCCAACATTTTATTTTGTTTTGTTTTGTAAATACTCTTACTTGTATAGCAACACAAAACACAGATAATACTCCTTGGTAAACAGGGAAATCCCAGAACAGTTGGAGCATAAAGCTTTGCTTCTCAAGTGTGACACATGCTAAATGATAAATAAAAAACAATTAGTGCCCCTTATTGATGCAGTTGGAATGCTCCTGAGCCCATAACTTTGAGAATTTGCTGATGTTATCCTGAAGAAGTTTCAACAGATTCTTCAGATAAGGGTCAGAGAATAATATCTTTGATTGATAATTTTTCTGTTTATTTCTGCCAAGGCGAGTGAAAACCTGAAAGCCTTTTCATCAGAGAGGTTTAGTATAGATGTCACTTTCCTTTTCCTGTTTCAGAAGATGGTGATTTCTCTGAGTGTTTTCTGCTAATAAATATGTAACGACAGTGACATGATTTACATGCAGCAGGTACCTGTTGGTTTCCCTTGGGATAGGACACTGCTCCTCTCCTGGCCGGGCCTCCTCCCTGTGTCCACCTGCCCCAGCCTGTCATTATCTCCTGACTTACTCTTAAGTTGAAAATATTCATCATTTGAGGGTCTGGAGATGTAGTTCAGATGTAAAGGATTTGTCAGCAAGCCTGAGATGCCTTGCTTGATCCTTACCACTGCCAAAACCCCCCCCTCAAAAAACAACAAAACCCCCAAAGAAAGTAATATTCCTGACCTACTTAATATTGTAGCCTAACCTACCTTAAATGTGCTTAGAACACCTATATTAACCTAGAGTTGAGAAAATTATCTAACAGCCTGTTTTGTAGTGAAGTGTTAACTATCTCATGCCAACACAGATGGGTATTTTGTAGATGATGGAGTGTGAAAACATAATGCCCCCTAAAGTGATGGCAGTATAAGTATACTGTAGAGCAGTGGTGGCGAACCTATGGCATGCATGCCCCAGTGGGCAGGTGAACCAAGTCACCCCAACAGCTGAGCATTGGGTAGCAGTTGTTTTTTTCTAAGCTGAAACCTCAGTACTTAGGCTTAATTGCAGTGTTGATATGTGATAAATAAGTGGCTCTTGGGTTGCACTTTGGTCACTCGGCTCTAAAACATTTGCCATCAGTGCTGTAGAGTTCGGATCATTTCCCCTTATGATCGTGTGACTGACTGGGAGTTGCTGCCCAGAACCGTAAGAGAGTATCAGTATTGAACTTTATATTGCTATCTCAGGAAAGGCTCAAAATTCAGTATGTAGTTTCTGAATGTGCATTGCTTTTCACTGTTGTAAAGGCAGGAAATCCTGAGTTGAACCATATAAAGCTGTGGGCCCATCAGTATTTGTTTTACTAACTAAAGAGGTCATTTTAGTACCTTCGTAAGCTTGTTTTTTGAACCATAAAGTCACAACTTTGAGGGTGAGTTGTTACAGATGTACAAAAGGGTCTTGTCAAATACATTTACAAAATAAAATGCTAATGACATTTTCTAGGTGGCTAAACCAGTGTACAGAAAAAGTAAGTGAGGCAGAAACCAGATAAGTGATACGTATGTACTATACACATGTGTGGGCACATAATATTGTGGTAGTATTAATGACTGCCATTGCCGAACTATATGACACTTTATTCTTCTGAAGCAATACATTTCTGACATTAAAAGACTGCACAGTCAATGTCAGGCAAATAAAACCTGGGTCTGCAGAAGCATGCATATTTGAAGCATGTTATTTGTCTGCATTCTTATTTTCCATTTCACATAAGTACTTGGCTGGGTGCAACAACCTGATTTGTAATTTTTAGCTATGGTGTGTGTGTTTAGTAAGCACTGAATGAAACTGATCTACTGATAGATGTTGCAACCTGAAATAATGGCTGTGTTCTAATCCTTTGGAATTATTTTTTTAGACTTTTTAATTTGTTGAAAGGATGAGCAGTTTGAATTTCTCAGAACTTTTTATGGAAATAGCTTTATTGAGTCATAATTTATATATCATGAAATTCACCCATTGTAAGTGCATTCAGTGATTTTAGTAAGCTTGTAGAATTGTGTAGCCACTAATCCAGTTCATTTATAGAACATTTTCATGTTCTACAAAAGGAGGTTCCTTTGTGCTTTCAGTCCTGGCAACCAGTGATTTGATTTTTGTTTCTATAAATTTGCCTTTTTAGACATTGTAGATAGTTGGAATCATACAACAATATGTAGCTTTTTGCATCTGGCTGCTTTCATTTAACATAGGGCTTTTGAGGTTCATCAGTGTTAGACCATACATCAGTAGTTCATTCCTTTTAATTGTTAAGTAGTATTCCATTATATAGATAAACCACATTTTGTTTATGTACTTATCCATTAATGGGTATTTGAATGGTTTCCAGTACTGGCTGTTATGAGGAGCTATTATGAAATGTTGCTGTGAACATACATGTCTTTGAGTAGATTTGTATTTCATTTCTCTTGAGTGAGTTCTTAGGAGTGCAGTTGCTGAGCTGTATGGTAAGTTTGTGTTTTACTCCTTAATCAACTGTTGAGTTGTTTTCCAAAGTGTCTGTACTATTTTATATCCCCAATAGCAATTCATGAAGTCCATTTTCTCCACATCCTAACCAATGCTTGGTATTGTCTGACTTTTTGATTACAGACGGTCCCTGACATAATGATGGTTCGACATAGGATTTTTCAACTTTACAATGATGTGAAAGCAATGCACATTCAGTAGAAACCATTCATCGAATTTTTGAATTTGATCTTTTCCTTGGCTGGGATATGCAGTGCACTATTGTCTCTTGATACTGGGAAGTGGCAGCCAGCCTTAGCTCCTAGTCAGCCTTGTGATCACAAGGGTAAACTTTATGGTGTACTGTTGCCCCACAGTTTTTGGATATTGTATTCTGTGTTTTCATATCCGATCATGTCTACAAAGCGCCCACCTATGTCTCCTGTTTCTGGTGAAAGGAAGAGGAGGAAGGCAATTACTCTTGAGATGAAACTCAAAATCATTGCTCAGCATGAAGGTGGCAAACCAGTAATGGTCATCTCACGTGAGTTAGGACTTTCCCAGTCCACCATCTCGACCATTCTAAAGGATAAGAAGCGAATCAGTGATGCAGTGAAATCGTCAGCATCAATTAAGTCCACTGTCATCACGAAGAAAAGAGCTGGGCCAATTGATGATATGGAAAAGTTACTGGTCGAGTGGATAGAAGAACAGATACAGAATCGTATACCACTTAGCCTACTGATGATCCAGGCTAAGGCAAGAAGTCTTTTCAATATGCTAAAAGAGCATGCTGATCCTGCGTATACACAGATGTTTACAGCAAGTCATGGATGGTTCCAACGTTTCAAAAAGCGTCACAATTTTCATACTGTTAAGGTCATGGGTGAGGCTGCAGGTGCTGATATTGGATGTGCTGAAGCTTTTAAGGAAGAGCTGCACAGGATAATTGTAGATCAGAAATATTTACCAGAACAGATATTTAACGTTGATGAAACAAGCTTGTTCTGGAAGCGTATGCCAGAGTGCACATACATTCGTCAAGAGTCCAAGGCAATACCAGGATTCAGAGACCATGTAACTCTGCTTTTGGGTGGAAATGTTGCAGGGTTCAAATTAAAGCCTTTTTTAATCTACCACTCGGAGAACCCTAGAGCCTTCAAGAATGTGAGCAAACACACGCTTCCTGTTCACTATCGCCATAATAAGAAAGCCTGGATGACATCGGCATTGCTTGAAGACTGGTTTTTGAACTGTTTTATTCCACAGGCAAAAGAGTATTGTGGGCGAAACAACATCTCATTTAAGATTCTTCTGATCTTAGATGATGCTCCAGGGCATCCACAGCATATTGGCACCATACATCCTGATGTAAAAGTGGTGTATTTACCTCTGAACACAACCACGCTCATTCAACCGATGGACCAAGGTGCAATAGCTGCGTTCAAAGCACAATACTTACGTCATACATTTGCGCAGGCTGTCAAAGCAACCGAATCTGGCCAAACACTCCTAGAGTTTTGGAAAGAGTTTAACATTTTGAATGCTATCCAGAACATTGCTGCAGCATGGGAAGAAGTCACAGAGCAGTGCATGAACTACATTTGGACAAAAGTTTTGAAGACATATGGGAACACATTCAAAGGCTTTAACAAAGATCACACTGTTGATGAAATAGGAAGTAATAAGATATTAGTGCTTGGAAAACAGCTAGAATTGGACATTAATGAAGAGGGTATTCATGAGATTGTCAGCATTAAGGCTGAGGAGATTTCTAATGAGGAACTGATTGAATTGCAGGAAGAAAGAAGTGAAGAAGTTGAAGCAGAGGAAGAAGTTGTACCCAAGCAACTAAAAAAGTTCACAACGAAGAAACTGGCAGAGGCATTTGCTACTATCAGCAGGGGCATGAGGATGTTAGAAGAAATGGATGGCAATTATGAGAGATTTGCAAGAGCTGACAGGCAGATACAGGATGCTCTTATTTGTTATAGAGAAATATATAATGAAAAGAAAAAGCAAACTGTATATTCAAAACTTGATAGCATCATGAAAAACACTGTGCCTGCTAAGCCATCAACCAATGTCAGTGCTCCCATGCCTTCGACCAGCTATTCTCGAGTCTCCTCAGAAGAGAGGAAAATTGATAACCCCAGAGCTGTAGCATCCACATCATCCAGGAATAAATTTTAGTTCAGTGCTTCAGCGTTCTTCAGGCCAAGTGTGTTTTCAGCTGTGTGCGTTAATGGTGAGTACCCGTACAACCATTCTTTTTCACTTTCAGTATAGTATTCCATAAATCACGTGATAATCAGGACTTCATATAAAATAGGCTTTGTGTCATGATTTTGCCCAACAGTAGGCTAATGTAAGTTTTCTTAGCACATTTAAGGTAGGTAGGTAGGCTAGGATCTGATGTTCAGAGGATTAGGTGTATTGAGCATACTTTTAACTTATGTAATAGGTTCATCTGAATATAACTCCATCATTGAAGAGCATTTGAGTTACTGTTCTGGTTGGTATAGTGATATCTCATTGTAATTTTAACTTGCATTTCTCTAAATATTAATAGTGTTACACAGCTTTTCATTACTTCATTAGCTATTCCTGTATCTTTGGTAAAATGTCAGTTCAAATCTTTTACACATTTTTTTGGTGTCTGTTTTATAAATTGGATTATTTGTTGTCTTACTTTCTCACTGCTAGTATTAAATACCTGACACCCACAAGTTTTAGAAGGAAAGGTTTATTTTAGCACACAGCTTGTAGAGATTTCGGTCGATAGTTGGCTGGCTTCCAGGCAGGATGGCATAGCAGAGGGGCATTGCAGAGGAGAAACAGTCCATCGCAGGCAGACAGGAAGCAGCAGCACTCGAGGGAATGGGAGGGATCTATGGTACGTATGTATCTCTGCTATGCCCACAGTGACCCACCTCTTTGCACAAGTCTTCACCTCCCAGCGTTACACCCAGCTCTAAAACCATCAGTGGACTAATCCAGTACCACACACCCATGATCCACCCATCTCCTAAAAGACCCACCTGTGAACACATGTGGTTTTGGGGGGAATAAGCCATGACATTTGTCTTACTGAATTATAAGCATTCTTTGTATATTTTAAATAAAAGCCTATAATCCTTTATTATATGTGATTTGTAGATATCTTCTGGTCCAGTGGTGGTGAACCTATGACATGCGTGGTAAGACAAAAGATGTTAAAATATGAAATGTTTTTTTCTAAACTAAAACTCCAGTAATTCAGGTTTAATTGCAGTGTTGGCACTTTGTGATAAATAAGTGGATTTGGGTTGCAGGTTGGGTACTATCTAAAAGGTTCATCATCACTGTTTTAGTCTATGCCTTGCCTGTTTTTGTTATTATTTATATTAATAGATTTTACTTTCTAGAACAGCAGTTGAGCGGAAAGTAGAGCTATCCCATAACCACTTCCTCCACACACACAGCTGTCAACATCCTGACCCAGAGTGGTGCATGTATTACAGTTGGTGATATCGATACATCATTATCACCCAAAGTGGGACTTTTAGTTTCCTTAATGGTGTTTTTGAAGTGTAAAAATTTTAATTTTGGTGAGATAACCAATTTTAAGCTCATGCTTTCTATATATTTAAGAACTCTTTGGCTAAGGTCATGACTTTTCCTATGTTTCCTTCCTTCCCTTCATCCTGCCATCTTCCCTTTCTCCTTCCTTCTTTTTGGAATTATAGTAAAATACACATGATGTGAAATTTATCATATTAACCATTTCAGCATACAGTACATTGGAATTAGACACTTACATAATGTGCATTCATTACTTTCTTTGATTTTTTTGTTTTTTGTTTTATTTTTTTGAGACAAGGTTTCATTGTATAATTTAGCCTGACTTTGAACTTACTAGGTAGCCCAGGGTGGCCTTGGACTTGAATTGATCCTTCCCAGTGCTGGGATTACAGGTGTGAGCCACCATGCCCAGCTTTAAAAAATTTTTTGAAGTTACATTTTTAGTGCCTCCTCTCTCTGTCTCTGCTTCTCTCTCTGCCTCTCTCTCTCCTGCCCCTGCTCCGCCACTGCCTCACTTGTGTTAGGCGAGCCTTCTATCACTGAGCTAATCCTTAGCTCCCATCAGTATTGTATCTTGTAAAGCTGAAACTATCTGCCCATTAAATAATAACTCTTCATTCTTCTCTCTCCAGTTGTTGGCAACCATCATACTACTTTCTGTATCTATGATTTTGACTACTGTAGGTACTGTACCTCATATGAGTGGCATTATACAGCATTTGTCTTTTTGTGATTGGCTCATTTGAATCACCATAATGTCTTCACGGTCATGTTGTACCATATGTTAGACTTCCCTTCTTTTTTAAGGTTTATTACTATGTCGTATGTGAATACCACGGTGTGCTTATCCATTCATCTGAATGTGGTTTCTTGGGTTGCTTGTTTTAGCTATTAGGAATAATATACTATGTATGTGGGTCTGTCACTATCTCTTCAAGACTCTGCTTTTTAGTTCTTTTGGGAATTGGAATTGCTGGATCATATGGTAGTTCTACTTTTAGGTTTTGGCTAATCACCATACCATTTTCCACAGTGGCTGTACCGTTTTATGTTATCACTGATAGTGCAAAAGGGTTCCAATTATTCCATATCCTAACACTTTTTTCTTTTTTGATAGAAGGCATCAGAATGAGTGTGAGGCAGTTCCTATGTTTCTTTTTTTGGGAATTTTAAAAAAGATTCAAGCAAGTAATCCATTATTTCTTTTGGTAAACTTAGTGTTTTTAAAAAAGGAATAGTTGAATAATATTATATAATATAGCACACACCTTCAAATAGTGTTTTTCCTTTGACCTTGCTTACTACTTTTCTACTATGTTTTTGCGGTACCAGGGATCAAACTCAGGACCTTATGCTTTCAAGGCAGGCAGCCACAACACTGAGCTAAATTCCCGGCCCTACTTTTCTACTTTGTGAATGAACCAGTTACCTATATTTTTTCTCAAGCAGTTTAGCTTCCTGCTTTCAGTGTAATAATTTTATAGCTGTATCTGCTAAATTAGAAAAAAAAAAAAACCAATTGCACATCTGCTCCTTTCACTTTATTGTTTAACTAGGGTTTCTCAGCCAAATGTTAAAAAGAAATCATTTGGTATTAATTCACACTTATGTGAGACTGGCTAATACCCCCTTAGGCTCTCAGAAGAATATACATTTTAAAAGAATTCATGCATTTCTCTTAATTGGTAGAATTTCATCTGAACAAAATGAGTGGTGATCAGTTTCAGGAATGTGAGGGAAATATTTGAAGCCAGGCTTATTAATAACAAGCAAGCTGTTTCTGCTTGAACACTTATTTCCAGTCTGAGCTTTCTTGAAGAGTCTGCTTTTTTACCTTCTGGACTGACAGGTTTAATATATGCTGCTAAATTGCTGAATTACTGGATAAAGAAGCTGAAGATCAAGTTTAATAATTTGTCTAAGGTCACACAGATAGTTAATGGTTAACATTCTCTTCTGTTAAAGGTCACTGCAAGTTCTTACTAAAACATACTTTTTTTAGATGGCATCCACGAATCTGTTCCTGTGTTATTTAAGACATTGTTGTATTCACAGGTTGCACCGCTGTGATCCTTTACCTCCTGAAGATGCATCCTGACTTGTCTCCACACCTGCACACAGAAGAATGCAACATCTTGATTAACTTGCTTAAGGAATGTCACAAAAATGTAAGAATTCAGAAAATTGACCATAAAGCACAAATGAAACCTAGGTACATGGCTGATGTTAAATGCTATCATTAATGGAAGGGAATGACAATGTCTTAGCAATGTGTTGGTCTGAGCTTAATAAAGATTGGCATTTGATGTATGTGGTCCCCCCACAGAAATTACCTTCTTTTATGATTGGTAAAAGTCAAGCATGATTGTTAGGGAACTTGTGAAGTGTAACTACTAGTTGAAGTACATATTCTTTCAATAAAATGCTTTCCCTTTCCTAATGATAGGGTGCTAGAACAATTATGTTTATCTCTGACTCTTCTGATCCTAATGGGATTATTTTAAGATTATCTGCTCTTTGATAGCTACCATTCTGGTAATGGTAATAAAGACATTTTATATAATTACATGTTACCTAGCTTTAATTTATGATTAGCCTAATATGATGGAGTTACCTAATTGTTATTTGAGTAGAAGCAAAATTCTACAGTTAAAATAAAAATTTAAAAAGCCTATATTTGGAATTCGTTAAATCAAGCTGATATTTTTATGATTTTTAATTTTTTTTTTTTTTTTTTTTTTTTTTTTGTGGTACCGGGGATTGAACTCGGGTCCTTGCCCTTGCAAGGCAGTCCACCCAACCGCTGAGCTAAATCCCCGGCCCAATATTTAGCTTTTTGAAAACATATTTGACTCATGGCATAGTTGTTGTAAGCATTTATGTTTTGCTTTAGCGTTTTTTTCCCCAGCATTAGGGATTGGATCCAGCATATTCATACTGAGTTACGTCTCTAGTACCTTAAGCAGTTTTTTAATTTTAGTGCTAAATGTGTAAGGTCAGCACTTGGAAGGCTGAGGCAGGAGGATTGTTGTGAGTTTGAGTCCAGCCTGGGCTACCTAGTGAGTTCAAAGCCAGCCTAAGCAACATAGTGAGACCCTATCAAAAAAAAAAAAAAAAAAAAAAAGCAAAAATAAACAAACAAAACATTTAAAAATAAAATTTTGAGACAGGGTCTCACTAAGTTGCCCAGAGTGCTGGCACAACAGTTGTGCACCGTCATGCCCAGCTACTGTCGCTCTGCATGGTACATTAGTTATTTTCCTCGTGATACTCAAAATGTGGTTATAAAAACTTTAATAACAGTAAGTTCCAATTAAATGAGTAAAATTCAGATAGCAAAAGTAACATAAATAATACTTATAACCTGAAGTCAGATGTTTTTATTGGTTAGAGAATGTTGTCAGAAAGTTGTTCACAAAGAATGGACAGCTTTGTGACAACTTTGTATTTTAGACAGACTATTTTCATCATACGTTTAGATCAAGAGTTGAGAGCTATTCTTGCTCCCTGTATTGACTCAGCTGAGAAGTGAACCAGACCATGTAAGTGGAACAGCAACTTCAGGTTCTCTTTAAAGTAAAAATAAAAAGTGCTTACTTTTTAGAGGATAGAAACTGATTGTATTGATTTAACATAACAATATTTCAACTCTGTGCATAGTAAATTATAGGCAGAGACAGAAAAGGCGAGAAGAGTCAGCCAGTTGAGGCCCCACATACAGAAAGGACTTTGTACAATAACATTTCATTCTTGTCATTGAGGACTTTGCCAGTGAAACCCTTTAGAAGTATGTTGTGGTTCTCATAGTGCTAGACATGAGTAAGGATACTATCTGTTCAGGATTATTTCCTAGGTTAATCAAATGAAAGGTCAGAGTTTTTAAAGTGAAAGGTCTTGCTTTTTTTTTCGGTGCTGGAAATTTAACCTAAGGCATTTGCACCAAGTTATATCCTCAGCCCTTTTAAAATGTTGTGCCTTGCTAAGTTACCAAGGCAAGGCCTGAACCGATCCTCCTGCTTCAGATTCCCAATTTTTTTGTTCCATGCCTATTTTAAAATTGAAATCAAATTAAAATTTCTGTTTTTACCTTTTCAAAAGGATTTCTTACAATAGAGATGGCATCTCAAATCACTGAAACTAAAGATGGCAGAACCCAGAAGTAGAGTTTATGTACAGTAAAGTGCAACTTTTTAAAGTGTATAATTTTGAGTTTTTGACAAACATGAGAACCCCTTTTGTTCCATGCCTATTTTAAAATTGAAATCAAATTAAAATTTCTGTTTTTACCTTTTCAAAAGGATTTCTTACAATAGAGATGGCATCTCAAATCACTGAAACTAAAGATGGCAGAACCCAGAAGTAGAGTTTATGTACAGTAAAGTGCAACTTTTTAAAGTGTATAATTTTGAGTTTTTGACAAACATGAGAACCCCTAAAACCCCTGTTGCAGGTGAGATATAAAACTCGTCTCTCACATCAGAGTTCTCTGTACCCCTTCACAGCCAGTCCCTGTTCCTCACCTCTGACCCTAACTCCTAAACTACTTTTTCTCAATGTGGATTAGTTTTGATGTTGTCGAATCTTTGTAAATGTGCTCTACAATGTATATTCTTGTGTGTGGCTCCATGTTTTTGAGACTAATATGTGCTGTTGGATGTGTCATTGGTTCATTTTTATTCTTGAGTAGTCACTGAATGAATGTACTATAGTTTGTTTGCCTATTGATGAACTTAGGTTGTTTGCAGTTATGCTGTTTTGAATAAAGCTACAATGAATGTTTGCGTAAATTATTTGTATGGACATCTTTTTATTTCTTGTGTAAATACCTAGGAATGGAATGATTAGCTTGTATGGTAAGTAAGCATTTAAGTTTATGAGAAACTGCCCAACTGTTTTTTATTCTATACTATTTTATTATTTTTAAATTTAAAACAATTTTTTTTGGTTCTTTGAGACAGGGTATTGCTGTGTAATTCAGACTGGCCTTGAACTCATGGCATTCACCCTGCTTCAGCCTCCTGATTGCTGGGATTACTGGCATGTACTGTCACGCCCAGCTTATTCTGTACTATTTTATATTCTTACCAGCTCCTTAGTCTTAGCAGCACTTGATATTATAACTAATTTAAATTTTAGACTCTGAGTACATGGTAGTGTTTCTTTTTTATTTTAAATTGTCTTTGCTTGATGGTTAATGATTTTGAGCATTTATTTATTTATTTATACAGTATTGGAGTTTTCAACCCAGAGCCTTCACATCGAACATCCCATTCCCAACCCCTTTTAATTTTTTTTTTTAGATAGGATCTTGCTAAGTTGTTTGAATTTGCAATTCTTTTACCTCAGCCAGCCTCCCAGAGTGCTGGAATTACAGGTGTGAGTTGAGGTTCATTTCTTTGCTTATAGATAGCCAGTTGATTCAACACTATTTGTTGAAGAGACTATCCTTTCCCTGTTGATTTACCTTGATTATTTTGTCAAACAGTCATTTGATCTAAAGGTGAGTGGATCTATTTCTAGGCACTCTGGGTTTTTCCACTGATTTGTATGTTTATCTTTAACACTGGTATTATACTTTTTTTTTTGTACTGGGGATTGAACTCAGGTCCTTGGATTTGTGAGGCAGGTGCCAGAACCACTGAGCTAAATTCCAGGACCTGGTATTGTACTGTTTTGATTACCATTGCTTTGTTGTGAGACTAAATCATTCTGTGGAAATTGTCTAACTTGTCCTCTCGCAAATTTGATTTTGGCTTTTCTAGGTCCTTTTCATTTTCACAGAAATTTTGGAATCAGTGTGGCAGTTTCTACAAAGCATATTTACTAGTTTTTTTATTTGTTGAATATTGTCGACCACTTGGATTTTATCTTTTATATCGGTAGGCAGTTCATTTATTTATGGGAGTGGCTGAGCCTTTTGTTAGGCATGTTGTGAAATATTTTTAGAGCACGTTTGGCGTAGCCTTTCCCTGGATAGCACTGGATAGCCTAACCAGTAAAGCGCGATTCTTCTGGATTCTCTGATTGACCTGAGTGTTCAGTGAGACCTCTTCTTTGGCTTGCAAGAGCTCTATAGACTCCTGGCCCTGTGTGAGCTCTTTGCATTTTTTTGCGTACATCCTCTGTGGTTGTTCTTTGTTGTTATTGTGGCTTTTCAAAGTTTCATCCTGCATGTGTTGTAGGTGAATACCAAGGTCAAGTTCTGGACTTGTTTTGCTGTATGTGTCTACCTCACATAGTCAGCTGCCCTGTGTGCTGCTGTCTGCCTCTTCAACTCAGTGAGATCAGTATTCTCCTGGGTTTCTTTTCCTGCTGTGCTATTTGGAAATTGCTTCTTGGTTGAAAGCTGGGTGAACATGGCCTTCACCCTCTTTGATTCCCTTTTCAGCCTCACACTTCTCTAAGTCTGTGGTCTTGTTGGAAGGCCTACTTCTCTGGCAGTTACTCCTTCATAGCCAGAATCAGAAATTTTAAAGATTAGTTTTTAAGTAATTGGTACTGGGACAGTTATATGGTTATTTGGAAAAAAAGGTAAACTGATCTGTACTTTATAGTATACATATGAATCAGTTTAACTTCTAGTGGGGCAGACATTCGACTGTCAAAAATGAAACCATACAAATACTAAAAAAGCTTAGGTAAATTTCTCTATAACTTATATGTAGGGAAAGGCTACCTAGTGGAATTCAAAATTTCAGAGGTAGTAAAATAAAAATATGATAAATTTGACCACCTTCTAAAAAGCGTGTATAGGCCTGGGATTTAGCTCAGTGGTTCTGGTGCCTGCCTAGCAAGCACAACGGCCCGAGTTTGATCCCTGGTACAAAAAAAATTAAAAAATAAAAAACATGTCTATTAAAAAAGGCTAATCTTTTAAACCGGAGATAGCATTGGTAACATGACACAGGTAATGTGTAATAGCCCTGATAAATGTAGGACCCTTAAAAATTGAGGGGAGAAGGCACAAATCATAAAGAAAAATGAGCAAAAGCATGACAATTTACAAAGCAGGAAAGGGTGGCCTTTAAGAATATGAAAAGATATACCTGGTATAGTGGCCCACACCTGTAATCCCAGCTGCTTGGGAAACAGGCAGATAGCAGGCCAGCCGGGGGAGTAACTTAGGGGAGACCTTTGCCCAACATGTGAAGCCTGATGTTCAGTGCTA